CATTATTTTTAAACCCTTTTGTATATATTAAAATGTAATATTATTTTGTGACTATTTTCTGGCTGATCTTGGGTTAAATTTTAGATCATGAACTTTATTAGCATCATTGGATCCATGGTGTTGAGTTTAACTCCACAAAAATAGATGGATAGTTTTAATAATAGTTTGATTAAATTTAATTCAAAAGTGGTTTGTATATTCTCTTCCATCCTTCTTCATCTCATTCCCTTCTTATTGCACTAAATATTATTGGAGTATGATCTATATATCATGTCTCAGAATAAATGGTGCATAGATTGCTATTGATCGGCCTCAAAATATGTGCGACTTCTATATAAGTCCACTTGTGATTGCTTAACATAGCGCTAAATTTTGTCTTGATTCGAATAAATGATCATTCGTAACCCAAACTTATATTTGCAAGCCCAAGTATGTTAATTTTATCTCTTTGATCCAATAACCTTGAGATTCATTGTGTGGAGGCTTTGATTCTACCAATTCTCTAATGAATCTACAACACCTTTGATCAACGCGAATCACTTAAACATCGTTGATCATTAAATGGCACTTGTGAGAATTCCAAATGGATGATATACTTGATAAAAAGCAATTGCAACTTGTTGTGTGGAGGATTTGATTCTACCAATCCTCTAATAAATTTCAAATGCAAGCTTCAAGATGGTCATCCAACTAACCACTAATTATTTACTTGTTTTACTTTATGCTTTTATTTCTTTTTATGCTTTATGTACCATTTACTTTTAACATTTACATTTCATGCCATTTTCATCTTTGCTCATTTGAGCATTTACTTTCTTGTCATTTTTACTTTGCTCACTTGAGCTTTTTTTTTTTAAGATACTTAATAATCAACATAAACCATAAAAATCTTTAATGGTACTTGGACTATTTGGTTACTATTTTTGACATTATGGAGCAATGGGACTTTTTTCTTGGACTTAGAATTAGAAACCTTGACCTATCTTGGAGACCTTGTGATCTTATCTAATTGTTTTGTCTGGAGTTCTTGAGGTTTACCTCAAGACATAGGATTCCTTATTTGTTTTTGTGTGCAGTTTTTGTGATTACACCATTTATTTATAATCTGAAATTCACTCGTATACAGCCGTTACTCTGCCCAATTTTTGTGAAGACTTAATACACTTGAAATTTGGTTCTCTCAAGAGGTCTAGTATTTTTTTTTGCTTGATTGATTTCAATCTAAAGAATGGAAATTCTATCTTGGCTCATAATGTCAAGTATTGGCTTCTTGTTGGTTAGATGATTCTTATCCCTAGCTTTTACCTTAGGCTTTAGGATAGTCCCTTCTTCTCCTCTCATCTTTTTAATTTCAAAAATCTTCTTCCTCCTTTTGAAAACTCTTCTTGTTTTTAAACTTGAACCACTTTCATAATAAACTTGGACTTATGTCCATGCATTTTCAAAACATTTTCATAAATAAACTCCAATCAACTTAATAATACCTTGACATTTTTTGTGAGAAGACTAAAAATCAACCAATCTCATTTCAAACCATTTTACACTTTGACTTTTATCTTTAAACTTTTCTCCAAATATTGAACTCTTGTCAATCCTTGTAGTGATGCAAACAACTATATTTCTATAATATATAGTGAAGAGAGATACTTTCTACTTTGGTGTTGAGTGAGACATTTTAATTTTAGGATCCAGGTCATATCCTCCACTTTGAGATGATGCAAATTCTCTTTTCTCATAATTGTGAGTAGTATGTATGTTTTTCACACGGACAGCGACGATGATGTTTTATCTCATAAAATTAACCAACACATTTGTTTTAAACTTTTAAAAGAGGAACTACGTGTACCCTGATCCCCTATTGCACAAAAAGGTGGTACGTAGGCACTAAAGGTTCGCAACTGCGGCGGATGCAAAAATTATTAAAAAAAATATATTTCTTTTCTCACCTCCACCATCCATTTTTATACAACATTTTTCATAGCCAAAATATACAGATTTCACAAAGAGGTTCTTGCGGAGTACCGTAAATGTTTAGGGTGCTAATACTTTCCCTTTGCATAACCAACCCACTTACCTTGAATCTTTCCCCTTCTTTTTGAGTTATTCGCTCTTTTCTCATTCCTCTGAAAACAATAAAGCGCGGTGGCGATTTTTATTTTGATTTGTATAAAATCTAGTCAACCCAATGGCTTAGTCTTAAATATTTCTACCGCTACATTAGACACAATTAAAACAAAGTCTTCATTTGAAAAGAGATATTGTAATTTCGTTAGTTACAAACAAGGAATTAAAAGATATATTGTAATGTACCTGACCACAAGATAGCTATTTATACCCATGAATATTATTTTTTTATGAAGGTTCATTCCCTACATTACCAAACCCAATTCTGAGCAACCTACTCAAACTAGGATCCTTCAATATAGTGCTCTCTTTTTAGAAATCTCAAACAACCCTGATACTTCTTCTCCAATACTAGATCATTCTCCTTCACAGCCATTTCAAAATCCAATCCCTAGCCCTACCAATATACAACCACCTGACCATATTTCACAATCTACTCCCATATTTCATCTCCCATTACACATTTTCCAACCACATCTAGCTCTATAATTCCACCTCCTCTCATCCACCTATTCACCCTACCAGAACATCAACCATAATAACTCAGAAACCTAAACATTTAGATGATTACAAGTTACAAAAGTGGACTAAATCAAGCCACTCACAAGTAGTTCTCCAAGTTGTCCACTTTTGTGCTCTTCCATAACTACACTCGGTCTCAATCTAATCATTTCCTATTTACAAAGTATGGTCATAACAAATTCACGACCTCGCTTATATATGTTGATGATTCCATCTTATCTGACAATGATTTGAACGAATTAACATTAATCAAATAAAAATTAGATGTTTCCTTTAAGATAAATAAAAGATCTAGGTAACTTAAGATATTTTCCAAGATATAAGTTACCTATCTGCAAAGCCTGTCACAACTCCTATGGTTAAGACTCCTAAATGCACTTTTGTGGAGTTTTAACTGTAGAAGAGAATGCACTTTTGTTCTTCCCAACTTCTTCAAAAATGCAGCTCAGAGTCTAGTGATTCTAATGAACAAGTTGAAATGAAACCAGAAAATTTATGAGAAATTTGTGTTTCCCTAGGAAAAACCATCTCACGATTTTCTTCGTAGGCATAGTATTGAGCTTTTGCTTCAGCAGTATGAGAACTGCAATGGTCAATATATCTTATTATACATAGCTGCTAATGCCACATTTCATGAAAGCACAAAGCATATCGAGACTAATTGTCAGTTCTCAGCTCTATTCAGTTAGCTAATATTCTCATTAAATCTTTAGATATGCAACCTTCTTCTTTTCGATACAAGTCGTAAGAGACACACTACATATTCATCTCTACTTTTATATATATGTATGCTCAAGACTCCAGATTTCATTATTTTACATTCAAAAGGATATTAACCTCATTATTTAAAAATTAGTAAACTAACTATCATATTACTAGTGGTTTGAAAGTTTATTTACTTTGTTTGAAAGTTTATTATGTATATCCATAATCAAAAACAAAGTTAAGCTGAAAATATTATTCATTCACAATTTCTAAATATTAAAGGGAACTCACGTTCATTTGCAGGAGTTTAGATAACCGGTTGATAACCCATATTTATCATTTTGGTCATAAATAAATACACCATCTGCCTTTATATTTTAGTTGTTGAATTCAATTTCACAAAGGGGGACAGTTTAGATATCAAAGTGTTCATGACTCATAAACTACACCAGACTATATTAACAGTTTATTTAATTTTTAATAACTACCTTAATAAAAAATTAACTAAATTAGTTTTAATTCAATTTAAAATTGATTAAAAACAAATTTGTATAAACCAATTTAGAATTTGTTTGTATTTTTAAATCGATTTTATATTTTAAGAGCTTCTAAAACTGATTTATTTTAAAATTATTTAAATTTTGGTTTTAACACTCATAATAAATAAAGCAAATATATAATATATAATATATGTTTTGGCAATAAAATCTTCGATATTATATATACTCTAAAATCCTCTAAAGCCTTTTCTAGCAACACAATTTTCATCTTAGGGGAGGAGTTGCAAACCCATTCCAGGTTAATGTAATTGCTTAAATAAATGTTAGCCAAACATTCTCTAGAGTAGTTTTAGCTTCACCTTGTTTTTTCTCAATCTACATTTCCTAACTAAAACCTACTAACTCAAGATTAAAAACTACTCAAAAGTCATCTAATCTCAGAGCTTTGAAGCCCCATCTACCAGACGTTTCCTAACTAAATCCTAGTAACTCAAGATTAAAAAACTATTCGAAAGTCATCTAATCTCAGAGCTTTCACCTTGTTTTTTCTCAATCTACCAGACGATTTCCTAACTAAAACCTAGTAACTCAAGATTAAAAACTACTCGAAAGTCATCTAATCTCAGAGCTTTGAAGCCCCATCTACCAGACGATTTCCTAACTAAATCCTAGTAACTCAAGATTAAAAACTACTCGAAAGTCATCTAATCTCAGAGCTTTCACCTTGTTTTTTCTCAATCTACCAGACGATTTCCTAACAAAAACCTAGTAACTCAAGATTAAAAACTACTCGAAAGTCATCTAATCTCAGAGCTTTGAAGCCCCATCTACCAGACGATTTCCTAACTAAATCCTAGTAACTCAAGATTAAAAACTACTTGAAAGTCATCTAATCTCAGCTTTGAAGCCCCATACTCCCTGGTTAAGAAAAAAAGAACAGTATTATGATATTCTTAAAAATCAAGTGAAGATCAAACACATCCATTGTATCTCAAACTCCCAACCACATTGGAACCGAATAACCAGTAACTAAAAATGTAAACTGTGACCATAAAATCAAAGTCAGGACTCAATCTCAAATTGATAATCCAGATTGAATAATACTCTTTAACATAAAGAACATCAGCCAGCTTTCCTAAATCAAAATGCTCACTTGGCACTGTGCTTGGCCTTGTTATGAGAACCTAAGGCATCTTCAGACTTAAATGACCTGCAAGCCGAAAATTTTATTTTTATAAATTGACTTATAAAAAGAATAAGGAGATGAGGAGGCTAATAAATGTAAATAGACAATTCCAATCACCTGTTACAAGGTTTGCAGCTGTAATCCCTCCCATTTGACTTTGGAGTATGCTGCTTGTTATTTGCAGCTGCTTTTAGAGCCTGCTTAGGGTAAGGAGTATCAACATGGACACCACCACTATGGCCACCTGAACATGTCAGAATTCCTATCATTTCCTTTCAGTTCTACTTTGTTAATAACATGCATGCATGACAAAATAATGAGTCAAACAAGGTTAAACTGGCAGTCTGACTTGTCTGACTTTTGTTTTCTAATTGTACTTTGGTCTTTCAGTTTTCATTACATGTTATTGTGATTCAACCAAAATAACCACAGATACTGGACATGAAGTCAGGTAGTTTATCCTAATTTAAGCCCAACATAAGGAAAATATTTGCTCCATGAATACGCAAAGTCATGACAGAACATTGTGGGGAAAGAGAAGCGCAGAAATTAAAGAACCTACAGGAGCATAAGTGGTATGTTCCACGGAACAACTTCCCCACGGCAACACAATTCTATGTAAAAGTTAGTGACAAATGCTGCTGCTATGAACTACCCACAACAGGGCAATTTTATGCAAAGGTAGTGAAAAACTATGAGGACTCTGACACCTTTAATTTCAAAAACACTGGACGCCAGTCTAGAGTACGCAAAATCAGTGTCAAACAAGGCTTGGGGGAGGGGGGTGAAATCATTATACAAATTTTAAATAAAATAAAATAACTCGCAACAAAGTACCAAAAAAAAAAAAAACTAACCAGTCTTCTCAGGAGTAACAAACTTTGCCTTCTTCACAGGCACAGGAGTTTTCTTTGAAGATTCATGAACTCTCTTACTGCTCCCTTCAACCTAAAAAAAATTCAAATCAAATTCAAATTCAAAGACAAAAAATGAAGCACCATATAGTCCCTAGTTACCTTAGCCGGTGTCTCCTCCTCATCAGAATCGCTATCCTCGTCATCTTCACTAATTCCAATATGTCCATTGGTCGTGGGCTACACATCATGTTACCGAAAAATTAATGGAACTAACAGGAATATGAATTCTCTAAAATCTCCTTCAATAAAAACTTTTGTAATAAAACAGACCAAGTTCACAACATAATATTAAATAATGTCACCAAGATACAATACCTCTAAATCTATCATCTATCATTCAATTAACAACTATATTTCAAAATTAAACTTGGACCACAAAGTTGATAACAGATTCTGAGGAGAATTTAGATAACAATTAATAAAATTGATCAAGAATAGATGCATTCTAAAGTCATAAGCTGTTATCTAAAAACTCATTCATATAAAGGAAATTAAAACAAATAGGTAAATTTGTATGTGAAATCAAGTTCACTTTTAAGTGGGAATGTTCACTTGTCACTTCATATGTGTATACATAAGTAGCTACCAACTTCATCTATTTTTATAAGTGATTATGACATGAATAATCACAATTTTTAAGTTATCACATGAATCATCACAGGAATGCTTTGTCACCAAGTTGCTACCATATATCTAGCAGTAGTATAGCCATACATATTCTGCCAATCCCACCTAGTGGGATAAGGCTTAGTTGTTGTTGTTGTATTCTGCTTTTTCTAGCCAATTACAGGTGCACGGATTTATTTTTCCAAAGCAATCTATTTCTTTAATTACATATATGTGATAAGATTTAAGAGACTTTTATTCAATTAGAGACTACACTACACTTTCTATATTATATGGATACCTTCTCTTCACCAGAATCCTCATCAGAGTCAGATTCAGATGATTCTGCTTCATCTTGATCACTAACATCCTTTTCATGAACCTTCTCATTCTTTATTGTATCTGATGTTTTCTTTTGTTTAGCTCCATTAACACGGGGTTTGGCACCACTCTTCACCTCAAACTCAGGTTTCCCTATATAAATGTTTAGAAGAATATAACTCAGTCAAGAGAAACTTCTATATGCCAATATACATATGCATCAGATTGATAATGAAATATATACCATTGGCAGCAGCATTAATTGGAATATCTTCCTCATCAAAATCTAAAAGAAAAATGATACAAAACGTTGAGAAGCAAATAAAATGTGTAATAATCATAATAATAATAATAATAATAAAAATAATAATAATAATAATAATAATAATAATAATAATAATAATAATAATAGAAAATTAAGAAGAGTATCTCACCATCAGAATCTTCATCCTCATCATCAGTAAAGATAAAAGAAGAATAAAGTTAAGGATATGCAAAAAAGTTAAATATCATCAGAATACAATATTGTTAGTAAAGAGGAAATTAGATCTCATGACAACACAAAATAGTATGAAAAGGATATGACACGTCAGATTGGAATTTATATCCAGTAAAAAAGACGCTTCCATATTTCCAGTTATGGGATAGCTCGAAGTCCTTCTCAAACACCAAATCATAAGATGTCTGAGGAAATTTTTCTGAAGATAGTGTTCCAAGTTGAACTTTCTTATCACCAAACTTAACATAAAGGGATACTGGTTCTTTCCCTTTATCCTTGCTGATCTCCCCCAGACATGCCTGTCATGTAAAGATTTGAGGCCATTTATACAAAAACTACACCAATTAAAAGTCAAGAGAATGACTAGATGATTATTTATCATGATACAAGCATATACCGATGAAAGATGGATAATCTTGTCTTCTTCTGGAACAACCTTGAGTGGTTTTCCACTTTTTACCTCAACACCTAAAAGGATTGTGAACAAACCCAAACAAGGAAACACAATATTACTTTTGCAACTGTAATAATTTGATACTCCACAGCCAATTTTAAAATCTGCACTATTATTTAACAAAATAACAACCTGTTGATTTAAAACTCCTTTTGTTTAGGGTTCAGTGTAATAGAAACTACGAGGTTGGAAATGACTAATAGTGAAGTGCAGAGAAAACAGAGAGAAATCAACAAAATTTCCATTTTAGTAGGGGTTTTGGTATTTAGAGTAAGTGATCTAACTGATTTTGAGACCGGTTAATTACTTCTAATTCGAGTTCTACAACATAATTAGCATTCTGATTTCAGTCGTTACTTCATAATCGAGTTCTACACAGTGTACTTAGAGTGAAGATCAGACACATCAGAATCAATTGGAGGCGGCCTTCGCAAGCTAATTCCATGATCTGAATTAACAGACTAAAAAGATGATTGTGAAATATGCAACAAATGTAAACTACAAGATCAACTATTTTCCGTTTCACAAATCATTCCAGAATTTAAATGTGTTTCACATATCAACTATTGACTATTTTTTACAATCGAAAAGTCGAGGTCAAATATTCACAGGGAGACACATTCAAACAGTTTCACACAATACAATACCATGCTTAGAAACTTCATAACATGGCAAATGACTGGTAAATTAAAATCGCTATCACATCATCTACAAGAATGGAAAACGCACAAATGTTTTTCCGGTAAAACACTACACTACCGCAAAGAGAAAATCCATAGCAATGGTTGTTAGATGATAATTATTAGGGTTTGACATTAAGTAATCAAAACAACACAAAATATGACCCCATTTCCGCCATTTTTTCCAAGAAATCAAAAATTTGCAAAACCTAACGGCATTAATCACTAATCACACAGTAAAATACAAAAAACATACAAAAAATTAAGCATCAAGAAATACTAATGTTGAATATGGATCGTAAAAGCGCGATTTCAACAGATCCTACAGAAATCGAAGAAATGCTACCTTCCGCGATTCTTTTTTCAAGAAAAAGAAATCACGAACTATGCTAACAAAATTTACAGTAAAAAAGAGTGGAATAACGAAAACATTAGAGATGTAACAAGGCGAGATATGAGGAAGAGACGGTGTTGTTACCCCAAAACTCCATGACTGTAGAGAGAAAGCGAGAGCGAAAGCTTGTTCAAGAAGAGATTGCGAAAGAATTTTCTAGAATGAATAAACCGAATAGCGCCGGGTATTTATTTGATAGGAATTCGAAATGGATATTTTGGGCAGGGTTAGAGGGACGTTTTTTTAGAATATAAGTACTAATTTTTATTTATAAAATATAAAATAAAGGTACAGTATACTTATGTAACTATTTAAATAATTAAACCTATTAAGTGAAATAAAATTACTTCAATAAGGACATATATGCATTCTAAGTTATACTAGGATAATGAGAAAAGTAATATTAAAATACATTGTGGAGCTTTCTTCCCAAATAAAGAGGGAAGGTTTCTTTTTTAAACCTCGTGTTTGAATTCTTCTTTTCTTTTACTTTCTTATTATGTTATTTCCCGTCTCATGTTTTATTTGTATTTTTTTCTTATTCAAAATGATTTTCCATTCACAATATAAATGTAACATTTATTATCATTTTCCCACTATTATATCTCTATTATATCAATATTGATTAACTTTTATTTTATTCAACTACTCTATCAATCACATTTAATAAGGGTATTCTAATAAACATAAGAATTCTCTTATTAAAAATTGGTTTTAAAAAAAATATAAGAAAAAAAACATTTATATAATACAAAAACATTTAATAATGCAAATCAATTTCTTGATGCCTCGGTAACATAAACACACCCATAAATATATAATGCATATCAAACGCTAAAGGTCAAACTAATCAAAACGTGTGTGCAAAGTGGGTCTCTGCCATTTGAATGGACCAATCAAAAGACTCCATTGTGCCACGCAGAGTCCCTAGCCAGTCAAACCACCCTGGACGGTGGCTCTGGTCACCATCTCCGATTGGACAAAAATTCAATTCTGCGAAATTCAATGAAAACCAATAAGAAAATAACCCTATTGGACTAATTAAGGCCTTGTGAATCCAATGACATGGCTAGTTTGTCTTGAAAAGGTTTGTATCATGAGATACGAAGCTTTAAAAGCTTTGTGCTCTAACAATGGCACAAGGTTGTTTCTGCACTAAAGCTTCCATGTAAAACGTTAGAACATTCGTAATGATGTGTATGAACTATGTTAGCATGCTTACAACAATTGAAATCATCACGATATCTAAAAATCACAACTTACCCACTTACCAAACTGGAGCTTCTTCAAGAGGGGGTTCAGGCGCTGATTTATGGTGAACAAGGAATGGTATCAACCCCTGGCAATCTCAGGAGAGTGATACTAGGCTTGAAATCCTTTGAGCACGGCTGAAGAATAGGGTTTAAAGTCCCTAGGATTCTTGGAAAATATTGAGATTTTTGACAACTTTAGAGGCTAGGGTTTCGTATCCTTGTTGTGTCTGAATTGGAGAGATTATATAGTGAGCAGTTAGATCAAAAATAATGGACTTGGACCTTTGTACAAGAGATTTGATTTGATTTTAATTTTTTTTTCATTATTAATGAATTAAATCCAAAATAATTGAAATAATTAAAATTAAATAAGGCCAAAGGGTGTGAGAAACAGATTTGAGGTGTAGAAGGAGTAATATGCACGTTTAGGCTCTCAATTCATGGCCCACAAGTCAAAATATTAAAATTACTCAATTTGAAGTTCATGCATTTCACTAAAATTTCTCAATTTGCAATGGTCATAACTTGCTCAATTTTAATTTTGGAGATGATCTTGGACTTTTTGGAAAGCTCAAGATGTCCCCTACAATCTATATTTTGATCATTTTTGCATTTGGAGATTTTATCTTGATGTAAATTGCCTTGACAAAAAGTGCCTTTTTGTTGACTTTTAAAAAGACATGTAATGTATTAGCTCATATCTTTCCAATGGTGCATTTTTTGGACTTGATAATAAAAACAAAGTTGTAGAGGATGGAATTCTCTTAAAAATGGGCTTTGGTTAGGGAAACATTGATGAAGCATGTGAAAGTTATGCTTGTTCAAAGGTCAGTTGACTTCTCCTAAGGAAACCCTAATTTAGTAACTTTTGATTCTTGATGATTTGAGAGCTTTCTTTGAGGAATCATGATCAAGTCTTGATAAAATGATGAGTATCACTTCAAAATGTTGATGTTGACCAAAAATATTGAAGTTCGACTATGTGTTGACCACAGTTGACTTTTGACCTAATATAGTTGATTTTCAATCACCTGAGCAATTGACTGAGCAAACTTGTGATGCAAGGCATGAAACTTGGTATGAGCATTCTTGAGGACATATAAGAAACCATGGAAACCACTTGAGGCCTTTGAAATCCAAACTTTTTTGTGAAAAGTGAAACCCTAGTTAGAAGTTCATTGCTTAGGAGGAGAATTTGTCTGATCAATTCTTGGTCCACCTTAAGCCTTTGATAACCCTAGGAGCATGTCTTGAATAAAACGACAGGGAAAATTTTGGGGTACAACAGTTGGAGGGAAGGATCTGATCAGATTGTCAAGATCATAAGTTATGGTTTGGTTGGATTATAAATGAAGCAAACTTTGAAACACATGGTTTCAATGTGAAGTACAGGGCAATCTGAAGTGGTTAGGCACTTTAAATATGTTGCTTCTGGATTTTGTGTTGAGTGTGTGTAGAGGGAGAAAGTGAGAGGCTCAAGGAGAGTTAACAAAGTGATTAAAGCAAACTTTTCCAAAATGAAAGTGTGAACTTTATGCCATTAATGGAAAATTGTCTTTGATAAAGCTTGAATCAAGTGGATAATGGCTCAAAAATTTGTGTAAACATTTAATTATAGTGAGATTTGCAAGTTAGAAGCCTGTAAAGCAAGATTATGCAGCATGGCTTGGGGGTTTGATCTTATGTTCGTCACAAAAATGCCTTGTATTTCAAGAATGGATGCCCAACTTTATGCCTTCGAATCTCCTAGCTCAAGCACGATAAAATTGTGTTTTTTAGACATTTTCGAAAGCTTGAAGCATTGTCTACAACTTTCATGTTGTGAGTTTTGACTAAATCAAATTGGAACTTGGTGAAAATTTTCCAAGAAGTTGGAATAAAAATCTGACCAAAAATGTTGAAATTTTTCCTAAGTGTGGAGTAAAATGTCACAACTTCATGGGATTATATCTCTCAAATTAAGCACTTTTTGAAGATAATCCATCAAGGACAAAGTTGTAGAATTCATCAATCCTTACAACTTTCATGTTGAAAGTTTTCCTTGAATCATCTTGCATCTTTGTGAAAAGTGGTCATGAAGTAGTGAATTTATTAAGATCAAAAATACTTAGAAATTTTTCTAAGTGTTTGAAAATTTTCCAACTTTTGACTTTTGTTGACTTTTCTTGATTCTTGATGATCAAATTTGATATTTTTGAATGTTTTGATGATTCTTGATCTTTGAAGTTCAATGTTGACCAAAAAGTCAAAGTTTGACTTTTTGTGTGCATGTTGACTTTTTATCAATTGATTCAGATTTCAACTATCAATCACTTGATCTTTAGAAATGTTTTGAACCATGTAATTAGGTCAAGATATTATATTTGAGCCCTTGAGATCATGCTTCAAGTTATTAGGTCATGTACTAGGTTAAAAGTCAATGATCAGTCATTCTCAATCAAAACTCTAATTTTGACAATTTTGCCCATTTGGTGATCTGAGGGATTTTCTTGAGGAATTATGATCAACCCTTGATCAAATGATGAATATGACTTCAAAATTTTGATTTTGATCAAAAATCTTGAAGTTTGACTGTATGTTGACCACAGTTGACTTTTTACCCAATATAGTTGATTTTCAGTCTTTTGAGCAATTGATTGAGCAAATTTGTGATGCAAGACTTGAAACTCGGTATGAGCATTCTTGGAGACCTATGATGAACCATGAAAGTCACTTGAGGCATTAGAAGTCCAATTTTACTTGAGAAAACCAAAACCCTAGTTGTGGAGCCAGTGCTTAGGAGGTGAGCTTGTCTGATCAACTCTTGAGTATCCTTGAGTATTTGAGAATCTTAGAAGAAGGTTTTAAAGAAAATGGGAGGTAAAATTTTGGGTTAAAACAGTAGCCAGTGCTTCTGCCAACTGATTCTCTTCTCATGGGATGTGCTCAAAAGTGATTTCCTCGAAGTACAGGATTAAGGTTAACACATACTCTTTATAAGGAATGAGATCTGGATGCTTCGTATCCTATTCTCCCTTGATCTGAGTGATTACCAGGTCAGAGTCCCCATATACATCCAAGAACTTGATTCTTAGATCAATAGCATCTTTAATACCCATAATGCATGCTTCGTGTTCGACCATGTTGTTGGTACAATTAAAGCATAATCTGGCGGTGGGAGAACTAACTTGGGATGTTTTTCATTTTATCGCAAATGTTGCGGTTAGAAAGAGTCACCATCGACTTTTCTTTTATTCAAAAGGAAAGGCTGAAAAGAACAGGAAAGACCTTTGAGATTATTTCTTGAGTTCGGGGGGGTAGATTATGAAAAGGGAAGGTATTAGCACCTTTTTCATCCATAGTTTTCTATGGGCTCTTAGTTGCTTGTTAGATCACTTGCTTTTGTTTGAAAATATTCTTTGTGTGGTTTTTGAAAGTATTTTGAAAAGACGCATTCGTTTAGGAAAACTTTGTAATAGTTCTCGTTCGTAAGAACGTATACAAAGTGTTGGACTTTTGAAAATATTTTATGTTTTGAAAGTTTGTTTTTGAAAGTGTTTGGTGTTTGTTTTGAAAATAAGCAAGGATGTTTGATTTGAAAGTGAGCAAGCAACTAGGAATAATTTACCTACTCAAAATTCTTTGTTCATTTCTTCATTTCCTTTTATATTTCTATCTTACCATTGATTTGGTAAGAAGCCTTATCTTTGGATGTAAAGGGACGAACGTGGGTCGTCGTATAGCCATGATAGCAATGTTGTGAGATATCTTAGCATTTCTCTTTGAGGGACTAAGATCATTTTGAAAGGAAATATTTGTAGTGTCATCGAGGGACTATTGTTTTACCCCAAAATTTGTCCTCTCA